GGAAAAGATGCTTCTACAGAGTTTGAATGCTGGAATGTTTTTGTGACCCCAGAAATGCTTCAAGAAATCTTGATCCACACTAATTCGAAAATTCGCCAAAGACAAAATAAAAGTGCAGCAAATAATTCTAAGAGTAATGCTTCTTCTTACATGCAAGAAACCACTTTAGGTGAGTTGAAAGCATTTATTGGCTTACTGTACTTAGCTGGCATCACCAAATCTAATCGTCAAAATTTGAAAGATCTTTGGCGAACTGATGGAACTGGCGTTGATATATTTCGTACCACCTTGTCACTGCAGAGATTCCAGTTTCTTCAAAATGCTGTACGTTTCGATGACAAAGCCACAAGAGAGCAGCGTAAACAAATTGATAATATGGCCGCCTTCCGATGCATTTTCGATCAGTTCGTTCACCGCTGTCAAAATGCGTACTCTCCAAGTGAGTTTCTGACTATCGACGAGATGTTACTAGCATTTAGAGGTCGATGCCTGTTCCGCGTCTACATTCCAAACAAGCCAGCTAAATATGGCTTAAAAATTTTAGCTTTAGTCGATGCAAAAAGCTTTTATGTTTTGAATTTGGAAGTGTACGCAGGCAAACAACCGTCGGGACCATATGCAGTCAGTAATAAACCCTTTGAGGTAGTAGAGAGACTCATTCAACCAGTTTCTGGTTCACACCGAAACATTACATTTGATAATTGGTTTACTGGATATGAGCTAATGATCCATCTACTAAAGGAGCATCGCCTAACGTCGGTTGGAACTGTAAGAAAAAACAAGAGACAGATTCCTGAATCTTTCATTAGAACTAACAGGCAACCTAACAGCTCACTCTTTGGATTTCAGAAAGATATTACATTGGTTTCATATGCACCAAAGAAAAACAAGGTGGTTCTTGTTATGTCCACTATGCACCATGATAATTCAATAGATGAATCTACAGGTGAGAAACAAAAACCGGAAATGATAACATTTTATAATTCAACCAAAGCTGGGGTTGACGTGGTTGACGAGTTGAGCGCTAATTATAACGTTAGTCGCAACAGTAAACGATGGCCTATGACTTTATTCTATGGCATTTTGAACATGGCAGCTATAAATGCTTGCATTATATATCGATCAAACAAAAACGTTACGACCAAAAGAACAGAATTCATTCGTAATTTGGGCTTATCAATGATTTATGAACACCTACATTCACGAAAAACTAAAAAAAATATTCCAAGGTACATCCACCAGCGAATCGAAGAGCAGCTCGGTGAACCCTCACCTAGACCTACAGTTGCACCCGGACGATATGTCAGATGCCAGGATTGTCCATATAAGAAGGACAGAAAAACTAAACATTCCTGCAATGCTTGTGGCAAGCCCATATGTTTGGAACATGCAAAATTTATTTGCGAAAATTGTGCTGATCTCAACAGTGCTGATTAATCCTATTTCAATAAAAAAAATACTTAATCAGTTTTTTTACGAGGAGGATCTCATTATCTTTAAGTTTTAAGTTGATTTCCATTCCAAAGAATAATAATTTTATTGAATCCTTAATTTTTGTCAAACCTTATACTTTTGTTCCTAAAATTACATAGTATAACATAAATATGAATAAATAAAACATTATTATTTAAAAACAACTTCTTTCATTTAACTCCATTAAATAATTCATTATTTTACAAAATAAAATCAACAAAATAAAAATAATAATAAAAATAACTATATTACAGTAGATTAAGATAAGGGTATGTCACACCCTGCCACATACTTGAAGTAACTTTTTTTCACCTCATGCTCGCCGGGTTAATATAGGCAATAATATATGTTTTGCCTATGTTTCTTCTTTGGCTATTAAAACCTAATTTTTTTATTATATTATACGCCATTATTTCAGGCCCCACACTCTTATTAAGACGAAGAAACCAGAAATCAAATAATACTTTCCCAACAAATCGACAGACTCTCTAGTTCGGCAATAGAACCAGCAACTACTCGTCCATAAGCTCTCTCTATTACATTTGGGCAATAAGTCAATCAGAATTGGTATCAACTGGCGCAGTGCCAGGGCTGTGCCCGTCACTATGATGAATAGCCTCCAAGGTTTCGATTGTGGAGTGCTTACTTTAAACTGATGAAATACGAGCTCGAAGAATATGGCAGTAGCTGGCCCATATCCGCTGTTTGTTTTGCTTTAAGCACTGCAGAAGTGCTGGCTAGATTTCTTTTGTATTTATTTATACTAATATTATAAAGAGGAAAGATTTGTATTTTTGTATTTTTGTAAGTTTGTAATGAATAAACTCAAAAACTACTGGACTGATTGCAATAATTTCTTTACCATTAGAAAGCTGCATTATTCAGAAGTAACATAGGCTATAGAGGTATAATATCACGCTAGGTCATATAGTTGTGGAGCAGTAACCAAAAATATTTTAAAAACGGGGGAAAAGTATCGTTTCTGAGGCCTTCCGTGGCGTGCGCTGAGCATATAGTTAAAGTTATACAAAAATGCTCTATAGATGAATTGTTCATCTTAACATTATTTTTAAAAAAGTCCGCGAAAGCATATGTCTACCTTTTATAGTTTACCCATAACAATAGTTTTAATGAATGGTTCAATCCTTATAAAAGTTTGCTCTAGATAACTTTTGAATTGTTCAATCGGTTAATAAAACGTAAAACTATGTAAAAAAAATTAAGTCCCCCCGTGCCAAGCCGGGACGGGCCGCGAGTTTTCTATAAGTAGCGTTATTTTTTGAGATTTGTAGGATGATTAATCTTGTTTGGGAGTTTTGTTGTGGTTTTTAATTATGGATAGAGTTTAACACAGACATCAATTGTAAACAGCCACGAGTATGAAGCATAGCACCTTGTCTTGTTATGAGTAAAATGTGTCGAAATAATTATCACAATTAGTCAGTAGTATTCTTAGTTTAATTTATTACTCACTAAAACGAATTATACATAGTGCAATTTCAGCTGACAGTACACTCGTAATTATACATTTTATCTGATTACAAACCCCAATCTCATCACATAAAACTCATAAAACAATAAACGAAATACGATAAAATTAAAACAAAAGGCTGACAAATTAATTACATTAAAAATTTAAACTTTAAAACAAAATTACACGTCATCACTGTAAATCATGAACAGTAACCATTTCGAACTAAATTAAACTACAGTCATGATTGCACATGAGTTGATCTGATTACAGTTATTAGTGCAAATCCATTGACATCACGTGTCAGACCTATCAACCGTATTTAGCCAATTAAATTAAAAGTTCTGGCTAAGCAATGTACCGAATAATTACGCCAATTAGGCTTTTAGGTCAAATTGCAAATTAATTTTGTTAATGGTAGCGTAGAATCTAGAATGTGTCTTTTAGTGAGTAGTTGCAATTATGATAACATTATAGATATCTCTTAAATAACATTTTTGAGTAATAAACAAATTTTAATTAGTGTTATTGAGATCTTCGCTAATGACACACAGTCTATGATTATGTATCAATCATTCGTTACAATAATCGCAATCAGCGAAGTAATTATATTAGTCATAATAATATTACAAAATAAGTTTGTATTGTTGTGTGTATCTATGTTTGTTGATACTAAGTACGTCAAAACAGCTGAAACAATGGGGATTAAATTTGGAACGGCGATAGATTATGGTTTGGTATAACACATTGGGTACCCACTTTTATCCCACATCAATGCGGGCGAAGCCGCAGTCAGAAGCTAGTATGCTTTGGTTGTACAACTCTAAAAATCTCCTTTTGGATACAAACAGGCCATCTTTTAACTCCACATAAACATACATCTACGATAACTACCATTTAAAAATGACTCTTAAATTTAAGTAATAATAAAGCTGAAATTCGAACTTTACAATCCAACCTCAATAAACCGAAGCAGAAGTTACTACCAAACGAAGTTTGACAATAACTTCGGACATTTTACAGTTACTCCGTTACTTCTTAGAAGTTAGTAGACATTGGAACGAACGTTTATTGGTTCAATTCCTAGTAGGCACACACGGAACGTCTGTTTTTAAAAGATATTTCATTCAAAAGTTTTGATACTAAAACCGTAAAGGGGGGAAAATCATCCAATGACTGCTCCCACCTGGGTGAAATGGGAGGGAGTGTCAGACTCTCACTGACTAAAAACCACCACGTTCCTTCTCCTGCACGTCGAGCCGGAGCCCTGGTTACCCGTTAGGTTGTTTTATTACATTTTAGGTAGGTATGAATCGATATTATATACCATCTCATTTATACAAATTAGCCTTTTTAGATTTATGCACTAGTTGAATCAAATCTGAAAAAACTATAGTTAAAATAACTATGCTAACTAATACTATATTGCCGGGCAAGGGGTCTCGGATTCGATCCCCGAGTCGGGCAAAGTATACTGGGTTTTAAAAAAAATCTCAGTAGTAGCACGGAGTTTGGAAATGTGTCCGGTATATGGTAATAGGCTCACCCCCTATTACATGGGACTTATTACATAAATAGTGAAAAGTGGGAGTCACTACTGTGCGCACCTCTGCTTACCCCTTCGGGGATAAAAGGCATTAACTATCATTTTATTCGCCACGTTGCGGGTCGCGAAATGCTGCTCATGAACATGAGCCCCTAATGTGGCTTGAAACTAGTCGAGTTCCTTGTCGAACAGTTACATGAATAAGCCGAAAACATAATAATTAATGTAGTATGTCTCACGAAAGTTATAATATAATCTACTAGCGACCCACCCCGGCTTCGCACGGGTGCATTATGCATGTATTATACATACAAACCTTCCTTAAGAATCACTCTATCTATTAAAAAAAACCGCATCAAAATCCGTTGCGTAGTTTTAAAGATCTAAGCATACATACGGACATACAGCGAAAGCGACTTTGTTTTATACTATGTACCTATTGATTAACATAATTTATAAGTATCTACATTTGTTTTAATCGATTTAATTTGAGTGTCAATCAGTTGGCTACGCGACATCGACTATTACCACATCATGTGTCGCACACTACTGATCATAAATTTAGGTCTTTTAAACTATTCAAGTTACTTTGTAACTGATTTAACTACATTGTGCAGAGTTCTATTAATCTGCCTAAATCGGATAGTCTCAAATAAAACGATTAAAATATCTTCGATACCCATATCCCACTAACAGCACATCTCTAAAAGCCAATAGTGCGGGGACAGATGCAAGTAGTCATTCCATAAGCAATGAAAATTGATTATTATGTCTTCGGATTACGGTCGACCTGACCCCTTCGTTCTACCATACCTTATGTATACAGCCACTGTCATTTAAATTCAAAGCGAATGTATGGGGTTTCCTATGGTTATGGTTTTATATGGTTATGGCTTTGTATGATGTTAGGTTTTCACTTAAATACATTGTTAGTTAAGTAGTCTTGGCAGATTAGGGTATTATTTTTTTTGTTTTAATACTGTTTTACATTGCATTACATATGTCTTAAAAATTGTTAAATCTTTAAATTTTTTAATCAGAACTCACAAACAACTTTTATTGCAAGCAAAACCTACTTTTATTACGATCACCAAAAAGTTCATAATTATTTGTTACACTATATTATGAGAATGTTCCATTAGACAAGACGTAGTCTTATTAAAAGACGCACCGGCACCAGCTCATCAAGCTCCTCCAATCTATAAAATTTCTTCAAAAGATTGTCTACCTTAAAGCACGGAGATAGAGTTGAAAATGTACTTAAGGAATTTGACAGTGCAGGGTATTTTGATGAGACTACGTTGGTTGTTGCTTGGTTCATGTCGTTACTTGTTTCTGAGTATTTCGAAACATCGCCCAAAGCAGTACCTGGGAACAACGTTTTGACGTAGCTCCCTAAAGCCATGAGTACACTGGGAGATGAATTATCATGCTATAGGTGACTATATGGCATCGGTATCATTCTCCACCAATTGGGTGAGATCAAAGAGAGCTGATGTGCTCCCTTATCTGAGGGGCGTCTGTCTAAATGCCTGTAGTCACTCAAAACGTCATTTTGACCTTCAACTAATTTGCTCATAGTCTGCAAAAAATACGGTATCGTGAGTAGTTGCGTGTCGCGTTCCGCGCGCGCCTCAAAGAGCCATCAGACCACCACATATGGGGCTCAATAGAGCCGATGCCGATTCGGAGTCGCGGAGAACCTAACGGGTAACCGGGGCTCCGGCTCGACGTGCAGGAGAAGGAACGGGGTGGTTTTTAGTCAGTAATAGTCTGACACTCCCTCCCGCCGCGGGAGGGATCCCGCCTTACCCAGGCGAAAAAAAATCGTGAGTAGTCGAGCGATGTTTTTTGTCATAATTATCTAACGCAACGATAAAGCATAACTGGCCAATCGTTTTTAGGGATTAAACATGATCTATTATAAACAAATGTATAGATATACAT